TGAGTTCATTTTTAAAAGAGGACCCAGGAGCCTCTGAAGTGGGCTTTGGCCTTGCACTTCCAGGATGAGGAGGCGCCAAGTGTGCGTGCATCTGTGCAGCTGGCCCCACAGGCTCGCTCCTGGGGGTGTGCGGACCTGAGAGAGACTGGAGATAATCCCAGGGCGCTGGGCCTCACCAAGGAGGACTGGGGGTCCTGGTGCCAGGCCTGGGGAAGGCGTGGGTGAGGCTGCCGCAGCACTAGACTGAAGCCCCTCTGACTGCCTGTCCTGTCCCGCAGTGCTCGGCAGAGTGCGGGGCTGGAGTGCGGACACGCTCGGTGGTGTGCATGGCCAGCCACGTCAGCAGCCTGCCCCTGGAGGGCTGTGGGGACAACCGGCCAGCCGAGGCCACCCCGTGTGATAATGGGCCCTGCACGGGCAAGGTGGAGTGGTTCGCGGGCAGCTGGAGCCAGGTGAGTGTGCCTTGTCCCGTGTCCCCGCCCTGAATCCCTGCTGTGCCCTGGCTGCTCACAACCCTGGAGGGAAGCTGCACCCATGCCGGGAGCTTTGTCCGGGTGGCAGGAGCTGTGGAGCACCACAGTGGGCACCTCTGGGCACTGCGGCAGCTCCAAGGGGCCAGACAGGCCGCCCTGCCCACAGCTGGCAGCTGCCCTTGCAGGGTTTCCTGGTCCGTGAAGCAGGGGCGATGGCGGTGTCTCAGGAGGCTGCTTCCAGAGGCAGTGAAATCACATCCGCAGGGGGGCAGAGGCCCTGACACGTCGCAGCTGCGTGACGTGTGTGTAGCGTGCTAGTCGTAGCTGTGTGGCCCACAGGAAACACGCCAGGCGGAGCTCTGTGACGCACAGGAAACACGCCAGGCAGAGCTGTGTGGCCCACAGGAAACACGCCAGGCAGAGCTGTGTGGCACACATGAAACACGCCAGGCAGAGCTGTGTGACCCACAGGAAACACGCCAGGCAGAGCTGTGTGACCCACAGGAAAGACGCCAGCCGTGACTGCAGTGGCCCACATGAAACACGCCAGGCAGAGCTGTGTGGCCCACAGGAAACACGCCAGGCAGAGCTGTGTGACCCACAGGAAACACGCCAGGCGGAGCTGTGTGGCACACATGAAACACGCCAGGCGGAGCTGTGTGACCCACAGGAAACACGCCAGGTGGAGCTGTGTGGCCCACGTGAAACGCGCCAGCCGTGACTGCAGTGTGCTCTCCTGGGTACAAACTCTGTGTGCAGACACACGCCCTGCTTGAAGAGCAGCTGAGGCCGAATACCTGGGCGGAGCTGCTCGGCTGGCCCGCTAGTTCTGTCCGCGCTGCTCCAGTGGATGCCTTTAAGAGCACGCGGGAGAGCCTGTGCCCGCCGCCTGCCCCACCCAGCACCTCGGTATGCCACGTGGTCCTCACGGCCTCGGGTCCCGGGGCCGCCTGGGACTTTGCGGCTGCTGATCCTGGCACAGGCAGTCAGGACCTCGGCCCCATACAGAATTTTCTTCCTTTCGCGTAGCTTTAAAAACAGACTGCGAAAAGAACAGGCTGCCTTGTACGTAGATGCAAGCCCTCAGCACAGCCATTTGGCCACATCTGGGGCCGTTGAAAGTTCTCATCTGCCTTCACCCAGTCGCCTTCCTCCCGGGGAGTCCATGCAAGTAACGAGCAGAGGCACAGGCGTCTCCAGCAGAGCTGTCTGGGGTCCATCCTGCCTCAGAGAGAGCGGAGCCGCAGCAGGGAGCGAGCGGGTGGCGGGGGGGAAGAGGTAGGGTGTGAGCCCCGGGGATTTCATGTCCGCAGCATAAAGCTGGTTTTTTGTTAGGTTTCCTGAACACTCGTATCACACCACCTGTCGCGCACAGCACTGCAGGGAGGGTGCGAGTCCTGCCCGTGCCACTGTGAGCAGCAAAGCCTCCCCTGTGGTGACGGATCCCAGCCTTTCCTGGGTTCTCCGGCCTGGGCGGGTGCTCAGTCTCCCCAGCCTGCTCCCTCTCCCGAGTGTGACCGTCGCAGCTTCCCGGGCTGTGTGCCAGGGGCTCGCCAGGGCCCGGCGGGGAGCAGGGACTCCCATAAACTGCAGCTCCCTTCTCCCTGGGGTCTGTGAGGCCACACACGGCATGACCCGGGGTGACTGGGCACCCAGCTGGCCACCGCCTGGGATCTGCCCCTAGAGGCTGCCCCCCCACGCCTGGGGCATGAGGAACACCGTGAAAGCGCGTGCACTTCATAAAGTGGCCGTGCCTGACTCCAGGGAGACCCCAGGCCCGACTGGGGAGTGGGGAGCTGGGGGCGTCTGCAGGGGCTTGAGGAGTGCAGGCGGGGGAGGCCCCAGCCCCACCCACCTCAGAGCTCAGGGGTCTCAGAGTTCCCAGCTGAAGACCAGGGTCACCAGGTGCCAGGCTGTGCCCTACCCCCAGGGGGGCTGAACTCCCAAGCCCAGGCAAGAGTGCCCAAGTCACAGGATCTTAGGTGGGTAACTTTGAACCTGACCCCCTTTTTTTTTTTAGTCTCATATTGGTAGCAAAGTGCTTAGGGCCTAAACCCCCAACAGAACTTGGAGGTGGCTGCACATGGGACACTGCACATGGGACAGAGATTACACAAATATCCACGAAAAACAGAGACAGTGAGGAGAGCCCTGGGTGGCACTGCACCCGGGTCCCTGGAGCCACTGTGGGGAGCACCCATGCCTTCAGGCCAGTGTGGCTGCCACCCTTGGAGAGTCATCGGGCTGCTGTACTGGGGTTGGCTGCCCCCTTCCCAAGCAAGCTCAGGAACCGAGCGCTCCGAGACCGTGAGCGTCTGTGTCTGCTAGGTTTAGAAACAAGGGTCTCTGTCGCTCCCCCATTCGCGGAGGAACGACACTAGACCCTGCGCTGTTCTTTTGTCTGCTCGGCCCTTCCCGGGTTTGCTGCTGGTCCTTCCCGGGTTGGCTACCGTCCCTTCCACCTCCGTGGAAGGGCGGTTCCCCCTGCCACCTTCCCCACTTCCGCGGGGGAGCGGCACACCGCCGGCCGGCTCTCTCGGGGGCTGCACAGGTGTTCCTTCAGATAGATGTTCCTGGTGCATGTTGTCTCTCTCCTCCTTTATAGTCCTCTTCCACCAATCCCAACTCTGCTACCCACATGCCGAGTACGCTGCTCTCCTCCAATCAGGAGCAAGTCCTACAGTTTATTGGTTGAACTGGAGGCAGCTGTGTAGAAGCTGTTTCCTCCTCTCCCAGCGCCATATTGTGGGAGAGCAGATGCATAGAATAAGTCTTAATTCCAGTAACTTAGTCTAGTCCGAGTTGCTCCCCACAGGTCTCATTGCCGTCTGAGATGGCCAGGGCATAACAGCGTGGGCAGGGTTTGCGTCTGGATGCTAGAGCCCACTAGCACTCCCAGCCCAGGAATTCGATGTTTCCCCCAAGACAATGAAATATGGCCTGCTTGAAGTCTTCAACGTTAGCAGGTATCAGAATGTGAAAGTAAGGGTCCCTTCCAAGCACATTTGAATAGGAGCTGGCACCATCAACACCCCACAGGCCTGGTCACAGGGACTCCTCCAGGGAGGGATATGTAGCCCAGGGGTGGACACGTGACCCAGGGGGTAGACACAGGGCCCAAGCTAAGCCAAGCAGGGTGCATCCCCTGGGACTTTTCTTGCGGGTTTAAAGGAAGAGCTTCCCCGGGAAGGTGTGAGCTCAGGGGCTGACCATGGCCACAGTCAGGCTTCAGAGAAAGCCCTCCCAGGAGAGGGACACCTGCGTCCAAGGAGAGGCCGAGACAAGGGAGTTTCTGCCTTTGGGTCTTTCCGAGTCTTCCAAGAAAGGGAGACCTTTGCTTGTTGCTCTTCCCAGCCCCCTGGACCTGACCAGAAGTGTGTCAGGCCTGGGGGTCTCTCTGGAGGCGGGGCCGCCAGGTCCTCACCCCCGAGCCAGGGCCCGGACGGTGCCTCCTTCTCTGTCAGTTCTGGTTCTCCTTGTCCCTCGCTTGTCGTAGACTGGGATCTTCAGTGTCTCCAGCTGTCAGACCTGTGGGTCTGCACCTGATTCTCTCCGACACTGTCAGTCTCATCCCAGCTTGTATCTCTGGCCCACAGAGCCAACTCTCCAGGGGCAGAAACACGCGTGACTGCATGGGACACCTTTCTCACCACACTGTCACCTCTCGTTCTCTGTGCTCTCCTCCATCTGTGATTTGCTTACTCCATCTGACTTCTCATTGATTTTCAACACATGGTTTATCTGTCGACTTCTTTCTCAAACTTCCTGTTGTTTTAAGTCTTTACTATGCAGCGCTATTTTGTCTTATTTTTACTCGACCAACAAATCTGTTTTTTAGGGGTCAAATTTTAATCGTTGACATTTATTGTCATCACTTATGTATTCCAACTTCCCCTTGACATCTCGTTTTGTGTTCTTGGTTCTTTCCTCTTTGTTCCACACACTCACATTGATCAGGTTTTCTTCTTTGTCTTTAATTTTTATTTATTTTCATTTTATTTGAATAGCAAAAAGAGAGAAAGAGCTTCTATCTTTACGTCCCAAATGCCTACAACTCTTAGAGCTTGGCCAGGCTAAAACCAAGAGCCCAGCACTCAGCCTGGATCTCCAGTTTGGTGGCAGGGACTCCGTCCTCTCCCAGGGTCTGGAAGCAGGCTGAGCCTGGAACCACCCCAGGCTCTCTGATACCTGATGCCAGCGTCCCATTGCGCGCTGCCCCGGTCAGGCCTTCTCGAGCCCATTCTTCCCTCCAACATTTTGGAAGTTATAAGTCCTGTTTTTATTCTGGGGATAACACTCAAGTGTCTAACATAGAGTGATGTGCCTGTCGGTGTCACGTTATCAGAAGCCGCATCCTCCCCGGGGGAAAACAGCTCCTCTTTCCTCCAGGGACTGACGTCGACCGGCCTGGCAGAGGGGTTAATGGCAGCCGCAGCTGTGGCGCTAAGTGGGTCACAGGAGCCGGCAGGTCTCAACCCAAGCTTGGAAACAGAGGTTGGGCGCCAGGGCCCCCGTTCCTGCTGCTTCGCAGGGGAGGGGACCCCCGTCTGGGTTCTGCTTCCCAGCTCTGTGCGCTCGGGGCACCGTAACAGCGCCTCCATCCACAGGGGCGCGTGCGTTAGGGGCACTGCCCTGCCCCCACCCGCTCCAGGGACCAGCGGCTGACACCAGCATGGCGGTGCTGAGACTCTGGAGAGGTGGCTGGCGAGCGTGTCCCGTGGCGGGTGAGGGGACGGGCGAGCAGCGTCCCAACTCCCTGGGTCCTGGGGGCCGTGGGTCCCTGCTTCCGGTCCCCGCTTCCGGTCCCCTCGGGGGTCTCCCCGGAACGACCGGAAGAGGCTGTGACGTCAGCGCGCACGCGCATGCGCAGCGCCGCCAGCCTGGCAGTCCTCCGTGACGCGGCTTCCCTCCCGCCTGGTTCAGTGCTCGGTGGAGTGCGGCCCGGGGACGCAGCAGAGGGAGGTCATCTGCGTGAGGAAGAACGCGGGCAGCTTCGAGGTGCTGGAGCCCTTCGCGTGCTCCTTCCTGGAGCGGCCCGCGAGCCGGCAGGCCTGCCACCTCAAGCCGTGTGGCGCCACGTGGTTCAGCACCGAGTGGAGCGTGGTGAGTGTGCGCCCCCGGGGGAGGCCTCGGGCTTGGACTCGGCCAGCGCTGTGGGTCACAGCAGCTGCAGCCCCCTTACGACACCTGCAGCCCGTCTCGGGGTGCCTGGGTTCGAGCCCCGGCTCCGGCCGCTGTGCACGCTGGGAGGCACAAGTGCTTGGGCCCTGCCGCCCGTGCGGGAGACCCGGGTGGCTTCCCAGGCTCCTGGCTTCAGCCTGGCTCTGCCCCGGCTGTTGTGGGTGGAAGATGTGTCTGGGTCTCTCTCTGCCTTGCAGGTTAAAAAAAAAAAAAAAAGAATGAGGAAATGCGGGGTTTTCTAGGCTTCATCCTGACCGAGGCGTTTGCATGTTAAGGGTGTACTTATTTAAAGGCAGAGTGACTTGCCAGGCTGCTGCAGGTCCCGGGACAGCGAGCGCCCTGGGAGGGAGCCCTCGGCGTGCTCAGAGGCCTGTGAGATTCACGAGCCGTGAAGAACGCGGGGAGCTGAGTGGCTGTGCGGCAGCGGGAGGGGCTGTACGAATCTTAGGCGTGACGAGTGGCCTTGTAGTTCCCAGAGTCCTTGTCTTCAGGGGCTGCGAGATACTCTGCATGTTGTCCCGTGATGGCCAGACTGGCTCCCCCGCGGAGCGCTGTGGGAAGGGCAGAGGTGGCAGGCACTGAGTGCTCGGGCGGTGTTCCGCCCCTCCGGGGGTGCTGAGCAGAAGCCCCGCGTGGAAGGCTGACTCGCTGCCTTGTTCCCGCTCAGTGCTCCAAGAGCTGCCAGGGTGGCTTTCGGGTCCGGGAAGTGCGGTGCCTGTCGGACAACATGACCCTGAGCGACCGCTGCGACCCTCAGTTGAAACCAGAAGAGAGAGAGACCTGTAACCCCCAGGACTGCGTCCCTGAAGTTGGTAAGTGGGACTCTCTCTCTCGGAGAAAATACTCCACTTCCTTACGCTCTGCTGGAGTTCCGTTTCGGGAGTCCATCCAGGGCTCTCTGTGACCTTGAGTGTCGTCGTGGCTATCGGGGACAGAGTCCTCCTGGAATGGCAAGCTTCACAGTTGAGGGAGACTGCCCGTGGCACCGGCGGTACCCTGGCCACGCGTCCAGAGACTCCACTGTGAGTCCAGGAGGATGGTGGTGCTGGCAGGTGGGTGCTGCCGCCCCGAGGCGGAAGTGCACCGTCCCAGCTTTTAACTGCAGATTCAAGCTGATGTCAGCGGGGCCATGGGAGGGTCAGCTGTGACCCGAGCAGCAGCTGGCAGAGAAAGGCCAGCGGGAAAAGCCAAGAACTGGGGCAGACACTGGACGAGGGGGCGTCCTAACCAGCGGGCACATGAGCCTGCAATTCAGCCTGCTCCCTGGCGGAAGGCACTGGTGAGTGGCGGGGGGCGAGACCCCTAGTGGGCTGCAGGTCACGAGGACGGGCCACGGCGGCAGCCGTGGCAGCAGCGGGAGGTGCAGGGTGTGGAGCTGCATCTCCAAGCACGCTGGGTGCCCAGGCCCACCTCAGGGCTGCTCAGGATGGTGGCCAGGCTCCGTCAGGGCCGTCTGTGAAGACTGATGTTCTGAGCCTGTTGGTTAGGCTCCATCTCATTCGCACAGCACCTGTTTATTCACCGTGGCAGTGCATCAGAGCAGACAGATCCCCTATTAGTAGGCACCCCATGCAGATTCCACCCTGAGTAGGCCAAACTGAAGGTTTTAGGTCCCTCTCCCTCACCGCAAGATGGTGCCACTCCCAGGGGCTTTGTAAACCAGCAGTTGCAGCAAACAGTGCAGAGGCAGCCCTGCTCAAGAGCAAGCTAGAAATGTCAGCTCTGTAGGCAGAAAATTAGGAGCACAGGAGACACGCAGAAAAGCAGCAGATGAGAAGTGGAGAGAAGGAACCCTGCTCCGGCACGGGAGAGCGTGGGCGTGGAGCCAGGGACCAGCAGGCTGGGGAGATGGCATGCTGTTCTGCAGTGGGGGCAGAGTGCTGAGGGCCTGGCCTTCCCGTGTCTCTGAGCCAGTGATAAGCACAGACACTGAGCTGGGAGGGCGCTGGCAGAGTCACAGAATACTGAAACGGACTCGTGTGTGCAAGGTATGGCAGCGCTGATAAAGGTGGAAAGTTAGGTGGGAAGGCAGAGGCTTCTGTTGTCGTGAGACAAGCACAGACCCTTAAAAAAGAAAGCAAGGCCTTCAGCATTTCCCGCTGTGCTACCTACAGCGTGAGTGGAGGAAGGCTCCTGCTTGGAAGACACACAGCAGAAATGGCGGAGAAGGTACCCAAGGAGTCTTCAGGGTGTCCGTGGAAAACGTGTATTGTGGAAAGCGGCATGGATTGAAAAAAGTTTTTTGCCCCAAATATAAACTTCTAATTCAGTTTTCCACAAAAGTGTTTGAAGTTCCCTATAACCCAGCCCCAGAAGCCCGATGCCTGCTGCTGGGTGTGAGAACATCATAGCCTCTGCCCTTTGAGCATACCAAGACTGGGGTGGGAAGGAAGGAAGGAGAGAGGAAGAGAAAAGCGAAGACCTCCGAGAGATGCGTGAAGCACATAGGAGGATGTGTTAACAGTCAGTGCGAGACGGAGGCCGAGGGGCAGACGCTGAGACAGGCCCACGGCAGTCTTGACGCCACAGAAGGGCTCATTCCCGGTCGCTGAAACCTCATTCAGATTCGGATCACAGACCGTTACTTAGACTCTGCAGAGGCACATCGCAGCGCAGCACTGCAAAGAAACCTGCAGGTGGAGATGCTTGTGGACAACCAGGATGGTCAGAGCCGCCAGCTCCCTGGGCTGCACGCCGGCTTCAGTCCCAGCTCACGCGGGCACACGTGCCAGGGGTTCTCACTCACGGATGCGGTGCAGGTGCCCTCAGCCCTCGGTTTCCGTCATCTGTGTTTGTCTTTGGTGTCTTTTCAAGGGGGAGAACACTGTTTTTCTTCCAGTCCAGTGAAATCCAGTGAAGGCAAGAAGGGAAGGCACAGGAGTAACGCAGTGGAAGGTGTGAGCAGAGCCCCGGCCTCCCTTCATAGGGCTCTCAGAGTCGCACACGGGAGCGGAAGTTCTGAGCGCGCTCAGGCCCCACGCCAGGGTCAGGAAAGCACAGGTGCATCCCACGGGGTTGGGAAAGAAGGCTCAGCTGTGTGTGTGGATGGCGGCACTGGAGAAGGAGGCGCTGTGTGAGCGCACAAGAAACGCATGCCGCATCCGCCTTTTGGAATCTGCTCAGATCGTTAGCACTGATTTTATCCCGAAGAGTCACTGCTGATCACCTTAGAATTGATAACTTAGAATCAGATGTCATTGGTGTAGGTGATAGTTAGATTCCTAATGTATACATTACCCACTCAGAAAAAAAAAATTTTTTTTTTTTTGACAGGCAGAGTGGACAGTGGGAGAGAGAGAGAGAAAGGTCTTCCTTTGCCGTTGGTTCACCCTCCAATGGCCGGCGCGCTGTGGCCCGCGCGCCACGCTGATCCGATGGCAGGAGCCAGGTGCTTCTCCTGGTCTCCCATGGGGTGCAGGGCCCAAGCACTTGGGCCATCCTCCACTGCACTCCCTGGCCACAGCAGAGAGCTGGCCTGGAAGAGGGGCAACCAGGACAGAATCCGGCGCCCCGACCCGGACTAGAACCCGGTGTGCCAGCGCCACTAGGCGGAGGATTAGCCTAGTGAGCCGCGGCGCCGGCCACACTCAGAAAATTTTTTGAAGAAGGGATCAGTTTTACAAAAGATAAGCGGTGACAGGGCTGACATTATGGCATAGCAAGTTAAGCCGCCGTGTGTGATGGCAGCATCCCATGTGAGTGGCCGTTCAAGTCTCGGCTGCTCCACTTCCGGTCCGGCTCCCTGCTAATGTACTGGCAAGGCAGCAAAGTGGCCCAAGTCCTTGGGCCCCTGCACCTACATAGAAACCTGGATGTGGCTCCTGGCTTTGTCCTGGCTTGGCCTTTGATATTGCAGCCATTTGGGGAGTGAACTAACAGGCAGAAGCTCTCCCTCCTCCCCTGACTTCTCTCCCTCTCTGTATCTCCCTCTGTAACCCTAGATTTCAAATAAATAAATCTTTCTCTTTGAAAAAAGTGAGAGGAGCAAACCTAACAGCACAAGCTCAGGAAATGCTGTGCCTAAAAGTACCAGAAATGCAAAATTAAAAATAACCAGAGTTCCATTTTCTTTATAAGCTTGGCAGGCTTTTTCAAAATGAGATGTGCACTGTTGGCAGTCAGGGACAGGGCAAGTTCCAGCTTGCAACTTGGTGTAATCTTTTCTAGCGCGTTTGTGGTGTCAGGGTACGAGGGTGATCCCCACTCAGTAACAGGTGCTTTCAGAAACGAGCAGAAGCCACACGTGTACAAAGACCAGGGCTCAGATAGAAGCAAGACAGTGAATCAGATAATTTCTTGTAACTTGGAAATGACTGATTAACGGTAAGGCAGTGCTTAGGACAGAACACATGTGGTGTGTTCCTCATTCCTACCCCATCTGAGCAAGCACTCCTGTGGTCTCCTGTTTTGAGTGCTGGTTAGTCAATGACGGGTAAGATCCCCTGGGGGACAACCTAAGACAGGCACAGCCGCGTACGGAGACCACATGGAAACGGGGTCAACAATGGTATAGCCAAGAATCATGCCTCCCCTTGTTCAAAAATTAACGGAAAAGGGGAAATGTGGTGGAATGAGAAGGCCGTGCCAGGATGGCCGCTGGCAGCAGGCTGCGATTGGATGCAGTGAAACGTATTTCTGAGCCGGTGGCTGAGGGCTACACTGTCAGCCCTTTCCACGATTGAGCTCTGTTCCAGCCATGTCCGTCAGAATCCAGACAGTTTTTATGGGAAAATCGGACTGTGAAGTTTAGAGAGAGAAGCCCAAGCGAAGAGCCAGGAACAGCCAAGGCGGTTCTCTTGGCCTGTCGCTCCCCCTCTTCGTGGAGGAACGACACAGGACCCTGCGCTGTTCTTTTGTCTGCTCGGCCCTCCCCGGGTTTGCTGCTGGTTCTTTCCAGGTTGGCTACCGTCCTTCCACCTCCGTGGAGGGGCAGGCCCCCTGCCACTTTCCCCACTTCCGCGGGGGAGCGGCACACCGCCGGCCGGCTCTCTCGGGGGCTGCACAGGTGTTCCTTCAGGTAGATGTTCCTGGTGCATGTTGTCTCTCTCCTCCTTTATAGTCCTCTTCCACCAATCCCAACTCTGCTACCCACACGCCGAGTACGCTGCTCTCCTCCAATCAGGAACAGGTCCTGCTGCTTATTGGTTGAACTGGAGGCAGCTGTGTAGAAGCTGTTTACTCCTCTCCCAGCGCCATATTGTGGGAGAGCAGATGCATAGAATAAGTCTTAAGTCCAGTAACTTAGTCTAGTCCGAGTTGCTCCCCACATTGTCCCAGCGGTTATTTATGTGTTCTCCTCTACTCGAAGGCAGAGCATTTGAACAGAGGGACAGAGTGATGTGCCTGAGCGAGTGCTGACGGGGGAGCACCACACACTGGAAACGTTGGAGTCCTTGATTGCCGGCGGTGGAGGGTGGCTCATGGCCTAAAGATCTCCCCACCCCCAACGTCCAAAGCAACAAAGTTTATGTAGGCAAAAACCACAATATTGGGGCAAAGATATGGTTACTAGGGTCACACTGACCTAAGGCCTATGCAAAAACTAGTATCAGTTATAATCTTGACAACCTTAACCTAAAGCTTATGTGAAACTAATATCAGTTACAATCTTGACAACACAAATTGCAATCTTAACAATTCCGATTATGATCTTGACATTAATCCAGGTATTGGCCTAAATCATATGTGGGACATAGACAAATTACACTCATTAATCCAGGTGCAGCCTGTCATTTTTTTTAAGTCTACCTTTTTTTTTTTTTTTTTTAAGATTTATTTTATTTATTTGAAAGAGTTAGAGAGGTGGAGACAAAGAGGTCTTCCATCCGCTGGTTCACTCCCCAGATGGCTACAATTGGCTGGAGCTGTGCCGATCCGAAGCCTGGAGCCAGGAGCTTCTTCCAGGTCTCCCACGCAGGTGCAGGGGCCCAAGGACTTGAGCCATCTTCTACTGCTTTCCCGGGCCTTAGCAGAGAGCTGGATTGGAAGTGGAGCAGCCAGGATTTGAACCAGTGCCCACATGGGATGCCGGCACTGCAGGCGGTGGCTTTGCCTGTTGTGCCGCAGTGCCGGCCCCAGCCTGTTTTTACGCGTGAGCGATCATGGGAGGGAGTTTCTGCTCTGCCCCGTGGGATGCGGTGTGCTGTCAGGTCATTGTTTCAGGCCAGAGTCTCGCAGTGTGCAGTGCCTTCTCAAGAGGGAACGCTGGGTGCTAAAATGGAGTTGCTACTCTCACAGTGTTACTTCAAGAGGAGAGACCCCGCATCCTCTAGTTCATGGCCCAAGTACCTGTGACAGCCAAGGTTTAGCCCGACCAGGCCAAAGCCGGCAGCCTGCAACTCTTATTCGGGTCTCCATGTGGTGGCAGGGGCCCAAGTACTTGAGCTGTGACCTGCTGCCTCTAGGGCGAGCATTAGCAGGAAGCTGGAATTGGAAGTAGAGGCGGGACTCGGCCCAGGCACTCTGGTGTCAAGTGCAGGTGCCCCACGTGCTGGGCCGCATTCCCGCCCTGTCCACGGTGATGTTGAGGACTTACCTCCACAGACAACACTGGCGCAGGAATAGATGGACACAGTGAGCCATCGGCAGCGTTGGGAACCTGTGGGAATGAGCCGTGAGATAAATGACCACCCAAATTGTGTATCAGAAGAGGAGAAATGAAAATAAGCCCGGTAAACCCGAATCTCTCGCTCGTGTCACGCACATGCACCCATGCCTGGTGGGCCAAGGAAGTAAATGTGAAGAGGAACTTTAAAGCTTGTACAGAGAATATAAGGACATTTGTTTTTTATTTCAGAGTAGGAAAGGATTTCTTAAACAAGAATCTCAAACTAGGAAGAAAAATGTTATGATGGCAATTGTTAAAATATAAAATCCCTGTTTATCAAACCGTGACATAAAGAACGTGATAAGAAAATCACAGGTTTGGGGAAGGTGTTTGCTGCACACACAACAGGGGATCAGATCCTTTATATGAGGAATTTAAAGGTGTACTTTTTATTTATGTGAAAGACAGAGGGAGAGAAGGAGAAAGATCTTCCATCTACTGGTTCACTCCCCAGACGGCTGCCATGGTTCGAGCTGGGCCAGTCCAAAGCCAGAAGTCAGGAGCTTCTTCCAAGTCTCCCCCATGGGTGCAGGGGCCCAGTGACTCGAGCCATCTTCCACTGCTTTCCCAGGCACCTTACAAAGCTGGATTGGAAGGGAGAGCCAGGACTCAAGCCGGCGCCCATACAGGACGCTGGTGCTGCAGATGTCAGCTTACCTCGCCACACCCCAGTGCCAGCCCCTTAAATGGCAAATTACATACAAGAGTCTTCAAAAAGCTGGTGGGAAAAGCATGTTATGAAAAGATTGTGTGTGGATTTCAGGATTTTTTGCACCAAAACGTGCTTACCTTTTCATTCAGTTTTCCATGATCTGTAAAGTATCTTGTATGATGACACATTGGCCCTCACCTGGAAGTCATTTCTCACTCACTAGACCAGCAAAAAACAAAGCAGACGGAAGGGGCTTCCGCTCCACAGAGAGGCAGTGACTTCAGCGTCTGCGGCACACGGGGTTCTAGTCCCAGTCGGGGCGCCGGATTCTGTCCCGGTTGCCCCTCTTCCAGGCCAGCTCTCTGCTGTGGCCAGGGAGTGCAGTGGAGGATGGCCCAAGTGCTTGGGCCCTGCACCCCATGGGAGACCAGGAGAAGCACCTGGCTCCTGCCATCGGATCAGCGCGGTGCGGCGGCCATTGGAGGGTGAACCAACGGCAAAAAGGAAGACCTTTCTCTCTGTCTCTCTCTCTCACTGTCCACTCTGCCTGTCAGAAAAAAAAAAAGAAAGTGGATCAGTAAATGGGCTGACATGGGGATTCTAGGAGTTGCCTAGGGCTTGCATGCAGCTCGACAGAATGGCTCAAGTTCAACATCGAGCAGCCTGCTGGGGAGTGTTTGCAATGCGTGGCTCTCATTTCTGAGCTTCACTACCACCAAAGTAGGCAGAATGTTTGGAGGTAACCAGCCGGGCCCTGTGCCTGTGTCTTCCATGTTTCTTCCTGGCGCTGACCATTGGACACAGTTCATTAAAATATTGTCCGTGGTCTTCAGGGAGGCCATGGAACAGGTGTGTGAAGGGTTTTTTGCACAAGGTAAAATTACCTTCATTCTGCTTCTCCATGAGGCCCCTTGGTGCCTAATTCCATTGTGATGTTTAGGAAAGGGGCGCACTGTTGGCAAGCTCCCACCCAAGACAGCGGTGATGAGGCGCCGGAGGCGGGGAGGAGACGGCCGCCCCAGGCACGGCTGGCTCCCCTCTGCCGGCCGGTGGCGGCCAGCGTGCTCAGGCTCGGCTCTGCTCTCTTGCTGCAGATGAGAACTGCAAGGACCAGTACTACAACTGCAACGTGGTGGTGCAGGCACGCCTCTGCGTCTACAGCTACTACGAGACCGCCTGCTGCGCCTCCTGCACCCGCGGGGCCCAGCGGCAGGCCGGCGTCCTGGGGAGCAGATGACCCCGCTGGCCCAGAGCCCTGACGGCCAGCTCTGGCGCCACCTTGTCCTCAGTGAAGCATGCATAGGGCCCCCAGGAGCCTGTGCGCAGCATGCTCTAAGCCACCACGGTCCCTGCGGTGTCCACCCTGTGCTCTGTCAACCCCTCCCTGCCTTTGGGCCTGGACCAGCCCATGATGCTCTCGGAAAACCATGCAGAGGGACGCGCCCGCCACTCTCGCCCAGACCCCATCCCGGCACTTCCTGAGCTGGCAGAAGGGCCAGGTCATGCCTCACCCACGCTCCTGGTCTTCAGCACCCCTGCAGGTGGGAGGAGGCGGTGCTTGTCCAGAGCCCGCCCTGCTCGGCCTCGTTGCCCGCTTCCCTCTGCACTTCAGCCCGGCTGTGCCCCGCCGTGCCAGGGCGTTGCGCTGTCTTTCTGCCTTGAGACGCAAGCAGCTCGTGTTGACCCCACGCTTCAGTGTTGAGTAGGTGCCTCAGAGAGTAGCCCTTGAGCCACTCACAGCTCCCAGAATGGGAGCAGGCACAGATAATCACCCCATCTTACTGACCAGGAAACTGAGGCCCAACTCAGGTATTGCCCTGTCAGGTGGAGTCACCCGTTCAGTGGTGCCCCCCGCCAAGGTGAACACTGGTGCCCTCCTCCCACTCCTCTCCAGGGCCTGCCCCGAGGCTGCAGGTGTGCGTTCAGAAACCTGCAAAATGCCCCTCCCACAGACAAAGCCCAGGCCTTTGAATGCCTTCCTCAGGTCACAGGTCAAGGCCCAGGTGTGTCTGCAGGTGCCTTCAGCTCCGTCCTCAGCCTTGAACTCCACCACGGAACAGGCTGGACCTTGGCCCTCCACCCCTGTCCGTCCCTGTCCCTGTCTTTTTGGTTTGGTTTCTGGATTTCCCTCTGGAGCCCACCCCAGGCCAGGAGCCCCCTGCCTACCCAGCTGTGGCAGAGGCAGCCGTCTGCCTTCCGAGGCATCCTGAGTCCCGGGCCTGGCTGCTGAACTTGGCCTTCTCTTCTGGAGAGCCCGGGCGCTCCCTCCCTGTGCATGCATGCCACCCAGACTCAGCTGATAGCTGAAGGAGACCAGCAGGGCTCCTTCCACCTCCCCCTCCCCAGCCATCTCGGGGAGTTTGTCCTGCGCGTGGCCACTCTCAGATCTCACTGAACACGTCAGTCGCGAGGGGGATGGAGGGCTGTGTGGCGTTCTGTCTAGGATGGGGAACAGGCAGCGTGGGTGGGGAGAAGAGGAAACGGCTGGCTCTGGCTGAACTTCGAGAGGTTCCCGGCCGTCTCTGCTGTTTGGCTGGGGCCTGGGTGGCTGCGGGTCCTGTCCCCCAGAGCCGCCGTGACCCGGGTGGGCCCTGAGTATCACCTGCTGGTTCTGCTCTGGGACCGTGCCCCTCCCGTGAGTGTCAGGAGCAGGAAACGGCAGTCCTGTGCATGTGGAGGGCGGGTCCATGGGCTGCCCTTGGCGCTTGCTCGTCCCCAGAGGTTCCCGACCTCTGGAGCAGGGGTTTTACTGCTCTGCCGAGTAGAGTTTGCGGACCTCTTCGTTTCCTAGGTCAGCAGCTCATTGCCTTTCTTCCGGCACAGCGCCTTCGGCCAGGGTCTGGGTGTCCCAGCAAGGGCTCTCCTAGCGTGGGGCACGGCTGCATTTCTTCTCCCGCCTTAGCAGGCACGTGTCCTGCCCACCCCCTCCCATCACCGCCATCTGCTCTCTCCCTGCGATCTCGGCCTGCCTGTGCTTCGGAGGTGGAATCTCACGGTTTCCGTACTCCTCCCCCACCCACCATGTACTGGAGCGCCTGAGTCCCTGCTGAGTTTTAAATTAAAGCTGGTGTGTTTTTCCTCACAAAAATCAGCAAAGCTCCAACCAAGAATGGCTTGGGTTTTTAATTCTCTCGATTGCCAGAGGAAACTGTGCCTCTTACAGCCATGTGCGTTCCATTCACCCGCTCACACCCAGGACTGACTGCCAGGGCTCCGTGCCAGGAAGGGGTAGCCTGAGCGCTAGGGGCATCCCATACCCGCAGCACACAAGCTGGTGCAGGAGCAGATGCAGGTGCGCCCCCCTCCCGTCCCCCCGCAGGAGCCACACGGGACGGGCCTTGGCTCACCGTCCTGTGCCTGTCTTCTCTGGCGGGGGCTCTGCAGGTTCCCGTTCCTTCCTTGGGTGTGGATCGCCTGCTTAGTCTGCGTGGCTCCTTCCCTTGCAGAAGTGTGGCCTTGGGAGGGTGAGAGGAGCGATGCGGCTGCACTGACTTGTTGCTGTGGGGCAGGGACAGGAACCTGGCAGCTTCCCCAGCTGCTGTCCATTTTTCCAATAATGCAGCCTAACACATTAGAGTGGGAACAGAGGTGTCCCAGTGTGGTAGAGATGGGCATAGGGGTAGTGACAGGAAACGGGGCTTGCCTCTAACAGGCAAAGGCACCTGTGACACCCTCGCAGAGGTCGGCCAGTGTGGCCCTCGCTGTGCAAAACACCTCCGCTAGGAGTCAGACGGGAGGTTCTGTCCAAACATGCATGAGAAAATGGGGTTAAAGAATGAGGCTATTTTTGGGCAAAAAGTATTTGGCAATCAGTATATACCCAGCTCCATTTTTCCATGAGCGTTTTGAAGTCATCTTGAAGATGCCACTGAGTTCCTGTCGCCAGCTCCAAGTTCCCGCTCCCATCCAGCCTCGTCACACCCAGTGCGGGGCCCCTCCCCAGCAGGTTGGGGTCATGGGTGGCCTGTTGGGGTTGTCCACCAGGGGGAGGCAGAGCGTAGCCGGCCTCCGGTGCCTTGTGTGCTGTCTGCATCCTGAGCTCTGTTCTGAGGGTGATGGGGGGCGGGGGGCTTGCATGGTGCACCAAGGGGCTGGAAACATCAGCCACAGCCCTTCACCCCGTGAGAAGAGAGCCGCCCAGTGCCGCCTGCCTGGGCGCTGTGATAACTTATTGTGCTGTGTAAATACAAGGTGTTTATAGAAATTGTAATCTGGGCTCTATCTACAGAACGAGTCGCTACACAAAAATAGTTCTATCCTTTAGAATATGTTGACTGTAAAGTATTTATTTCCATCCACGACCCACACGCACACGGATCGCCGGCTCCCGCTAAGCCAGCGCCAGCGTGCGCCGTGTAGCCACACGGCAAGATCCTGAGCTGCCCACTGACCCGCGTCTCCTTTGCCGTGGTACATTCACTGGTGTCCGAGGAGCTGCAGGGCAGGCGCTGCGGTGTATGGGTAAAAGGCAGCCTGGCTCTTCTCGGCAGTTTAAAGTGGCAACTATTTTTGTGTATGACTAATTTATTTGTATTATTGTAAAAATGCAATAAATGCGCCAAAAGACTGGCTTTGTCGGTACCTTCTGCTGGCTGTGGCCTGGCCTGTGTTGCTGGTTGCCCGGCTGCTCGGGCCAGGGGCTATGGGACTCTGGTAGCTGTGGGTGCCATGTGGGTTGTTGGGCACTGTGAGGACAGGGTGTGCACGCTGTGAGTGGGCCTGGACCTTGACCTTGGACTGGAACTGCCCCAGCAGCTGAGAGAAGACACGGGTGGTGTGTGTGTGTGCGCACGTGTGCCCCCAGGACCACGCCACACATCCCATGTGTGTGTTTCTTCAGCCTTTCTCCAGGTGGTCGCCATGGGCACACGGATCCAGGGCCCACTCTGCTGGGCTGGGGTGGCTGATTTTAACAACAAAGTGGACGGAATCTCTCGACATCTTGGGGCAGGGTAACGGGAGATAGGGGCCAGTTCCTGGTGCCCCCTCAGTCGTTCTCGCTGAGAGGTCTGGTGCAGCACCTGTGGGCTGTGACTTGGTCCTGTGCAGCATCTCATCTGTAGCTCCCAGCAATGTCTTAGGCTCAGCTGCCACTTCCTGTCCCTCCCACACACGCCTGCAAAATCAAGTCCCCAGTTAATCTCTCAGTTGTTGGCCTATAAAGGTCATGGTTTTCACCATTCCCAAGTGCAGTGCAGTGGTCCTTGGCGTGGTCACTCCCCGACTGCACTTAGTCTTTAACCAGTTGTGCAGGTGCTCCGAGAGCTCACAGCAGACAGCCATAAGAGATAAGTAGAACTTGCAGTTCAATTTTAAACCTTTACGTATTCAAGTTGATAATGGACTTGAAAAGAAGGGAGAGATGCAGAGATCTTCAACCCACTGGTTCATTCTCCATTTGGGCCAGCCCAAAGCCAGGGGTCAGGGCTCCATTCAAGTCTCCCACCTGGGTGGCAGGGCCCCAGGTACTCAGCCGTCCTCTGCCGCCTCCCAGGTGTCACCAGCAGGAAGCAAATTGGCAGTGGAGCCAGACTGGCACCCACAGGTTCTGATCGGGGTGTGGGTGCCTCTGGCAGCACCTTGGTGCTGTCAAGTCTAAATTACCCATCTGTTCTGGAAGTGGGTAGCGTTTCAGTCTCCCAAAACACTCCTGACTCAGCTTTGGCCTCTTAGGACTCTCCGAAAAGGTGGGTAGAGTTTTCCTTATTGCCAAACTCAGCTCATACTCTCCTTGAAATGTCTGTCTTTGCTTTTGGTAACACTTCCTGTTCTGCCTGGCTTGTCCTTTCATTTTTTTTTAAAGATTTATTTGTTTTATTTACTTGAAAGGCAGAGTTGAAGAGACAGGAGGAGAGACAGAGATCTTTCATCTGTGATTCATTCCCCTAATGGCTGCAAGGTCCGGAGTTGGGCCAGACCAAAGCCAGGGTCTAGGAGCTTCTTCCAGGTCTCCCACATGGTGCAGGGGCCCGAGGACTTGGGCCATCTTCTACTGCTTTCCCAGGCCACAGCAGAGAGCTGGATCAGAAGTGGAGCAGCCAGAACATGAACCCAGAAGAAGCTCCTGGATCCTGGCCCCTGGCTTCTGTTCAGCTCAGCTCCAGCCATTGGGAGAGTGAACCAGCAGATGGAAGACTTCTCTCTCTCCTCTCTGCCTATAACTCTGCCTCTCAAATAAATAAATACTTTTTTAGAAAAGAAGGCACTGCTTTAAACACCTGCATCCCATATTGGAGTGCCTGGTTCAAGTTCTGGCTCCCGTTCTAACTCCAGTTTCCTGCTGATGTGCACCCTGGGGGCCTGCAGTTGGTGGCTTAAGGTGTCCCTGCCACCCATGTGAGACCCAAATGGAGTTGCAGGCTCCTGGCTGTTGTGGGCATTTGAGGGGTAAGCCAGCAAGTGGAAGATGGCTCGCTGTTCCCCTGCCTTTCAGATATAATAATCGTTTTTGAAAAGAAAGATAAACCCCAGAGGAAAGGTGTTCCCAGAACCCACTCTTGCGAATGGTGCCAACCACGCCAGGAGCCGCGGTGGTGGCAACAGAGCTGAGCCATCAGTCCAGCCAGCCCCAGCCCAGCATCCCAGGAAGGACTCCTGCTCCCTCTGGCAGGACCCTGGTGGCGGGGTGTCGCCGGCCCTGCACAGTGGGCAGGCCCAGAGGGAGCAGGTTCTGCAGGCTTTCCCCTCCCCTCCCCTCCCCCAACCCCAGCCTGCAGGGAGTCAGGGCAAGTTGCTGACCTGTCCCCCGGGGAATAACTGCATTAGTGATAAGGTGGCCTCTGCTGGCTTCGTCAGCACATTGGAGGCTTGGGGCTGAGTTAATCCTTTGGCGTCTGCCCCAGCAGCTGGTGATCACAGACTGGCTGCGGGCGGGGGAGGGGCCCCAGCACAGGGCGCAGCTCTGAGCTGCTGTGGATGGCCAGGCTCAAGGAGGAGGTGTGGGGAGTCCAGGAAGTACAGCAGGCAGCGGGCGATCAGGCAGGCCAGACACTGCAGGTGTCTTATATGTGTGTCTGTTTGCCAGTGTAAGTCTTGCACGCTCACTGGAGTGTCGGAAACAGAGCAAGATTAAAGTCCACGTGTTACCGGAGAAGCAAAGGGTCCTCTTCGCTCAAGAACGAATTCAGGCGTGAGACACAGAGTAGTGGCATGCAGAATAGCGAGGTTTATTAGGGTAGGAACATCCGTAAGAACGACGGGCACCTCTCCAGACAGGACCTGAGAGAGAGTGCGCAGTGCACATTTAGGCTGGGATTTTTTTAGGGGATGGGTCTTGCCTTCCCTCCTCCTCTCCTTCTCCTCCCCGAACAAAGGACTTGTTGGATGTAAATACAAAAAATTCCCTTCTGAGTTTTTCCCATTGAAATTACCAGACAGGGGAAGCCGGGGTGGCATCCCCTGCCTTCGAGGAAGGATGGTTATTGGGTAGAAGGGGCGGGACGCCTGGAAGGTCATCAGGACGTTTGAAGTGCAGGTACTGGGCTGCACCTGGAAGGTTATCGGGATGACTGTGAGACGCTGGACGCTGTAGGTGTCAATTCCTTAGGCCTTCGTCACACACACATGGCTCATTTCTGACTTCCTACCTAACACATGTAGTGCCGGGGAAGTCCCCTGCCCAGCTCAGCCGATACCGAAACCTCGTCCGTGCAGTCTCCTGGACTGAGGGAACCTAACCCAGGGTGAGGTTCAGCCTTCAAGAAGGCCAGAACAGGTGGGCTGGGTCGCCTGGAGGCCGTGAGCCCTGAACAGGCTGGGCAGGAACGGCAGGAGGGGCAGGCCCTTCCCCACGCAGCTGCCTGCAGGACTCCTTCCCGGTGCTGCTGCAAGAGGATCCCAGCCCTGGGTGCCACCCTGTTGATGAACCGGCCTCTTGCCCAGCTGAGGTGTCCTGAGCCTGCGGCCCCCCAACCCATGCCCCCGTCCTCGGGCACGAGCAAGGAAGGGGCTGGGCTCTGGACAGTGACCGCAGGAGCCATGGAGAGGCAGGCAGTGGTCAGGGGCTGGAGGGTGCCCTTGCAGCCGCACACTTGCTTGGTCGAGGGTCCTGAGTGCTTCCTGGTCGGGGGGGTGGGGGGGGCCTCAGCCTTGGCCTCTATCTGCCAAGTTCGGCTAAGCGGATCTCCCTGCACAGCCGCAAGCTGACTTCCCAAATCCCCAGTAGTGCTGCCCTGTCACAGGCAGGGTTAGCCCCACCCTCATCTCTCCCACCCCTGGGGCACATGATCCTTCCGGAATCTTCCAACTGCCCCTGACCCCAGCTCACCCCAGCAGCAGCGTGGGTCTTCCTGGGATGCCTCTGAGCCCCAGATGGGACTGGGCTGCAGGGGGCGCTGTTTCCCGAGTCCTCTGTGCTCACCCTGGAGGTGGCAACAGCAGAGTGACAGCCACAGCGCTTGGAGATAGGTGCTCGGGCCTCCCTTGCCCTGGGGAGGGACTGACGCTCAGGAGCCAGGCCTGCGATGGCGCAGGGGATGCAGTCCAGGCCCCCTTCCTCCCTCCTTGCTCCCTGCCCGCCTCTCCTGGGAGTTTTGTCCTCGGCCACCTCCTAGCTGTTCCCCTCCGCCCCTAACAGGCTGAAGGAGCAAGGCCTAGTGCCCCGATGGCTCCTCTGTGCCAGTGGTCAGGGGGGCTGCTTGCTTTCCAAGGGGCCCAAGAACCCCAGGCGTGGTCCCCAAGTAATCCCTTATCAAGCCACCCAGGACCCAGAGCAGGAGCACCCAGGCGCCCCCGCCCCCGCTGCAGCGCCGAGGGAGGCAAGCCTGGTGGCAGGGAGTGGACAGCGGCTGAGGAACAGGGCAGAAGGCCCCGGGCGTGGCGCAGCGGCTCGGCGGGACTGGCCGCTGCAGGGGCACCTTGGCATCAGCGCAGGTGTGGCCGGCTGATCCCCCGCAGAGACAGTAAAGATTAAGAGGATCATAAACTGCGTCCGCACGGCTGCCCCGGGGGAAATCTCCTGGAGCCAGAGCCGTGAGGGGCCCTGGAACGTCAGGGAGGTGCCTGCATCCTGCCAGAGAGCCGGGGAGGGAGAGGGACAGGAGAGCCAGGGACGGGGAAAGGCAGAGGCGGAGAGGTTGGGGCAGAGGCTGGGCCTCCACTCAACCACCCAGGAGCCCCCGTCACTGCCCAGGGCCCGCCTGCAGCTCCGATGAGCTCCACCATGGCTGCAGCTGCACCTGCAGCTGTGGCTGCCTCCAGGAAGGAGTCTCCTGGCAGGTGGGGCCTGGGGGAGGATCCGACAGGTATGGCTTTGCCTGGAGGTGGGGTGTGGCGCCTTGGGACTGCATGGGGTGGGGCCCTGGGCAGGTACACAGGGCAGCACAGGCCCCCTGGGACTGAAGGGCAGGAAGAACAGGTTGTTCTGTAGGAGTAGGAGCGGGAGGTGGAGGCACGCGGGCCTTGAGGGGGGGGGGTGTGGGCTGGAGCGTGGATGCCAGGAGAGCCGCCCGTCCTGGGTCCTAAGGGGCGTGGGCTGGGGGCTGGGGGTGGGGTCAGCTGCCGGCGCCCAGCACTGCCCGCCCTGCCCCAGGCTCGGGGCCCTCGCTGCAGTGCCGTGTGTGCGGGGACAGCAGCAGCGGGAAGCACTACGGCATCTACGCCTGCAACGGCTGCAGCGGCTTCTTCAAGAGGAGCGTGAGGCGGAGGCTCATCTACAGGTGGGAGGGGCGCCGCAGTCCCGGGCTGGGGTGGGGTGGAGGGACAAGGGGCCGAGCCTGGGCTGGACCCTGCCCGCAGGTGCCAGGTGGGGGCTGGGATGTGCCCAGTGGACAAGGCTCATCGCAACCAGTGCCAGGCCTGCCGGCTGAAGAAGTGTCTGCAGGCGGGCATGAACCAGGACGGTGAGTGGGGGACCCACAGGGCGGGGGGGCATGACCAGGGTGGCCACGGTGCCCACTGGGGTGCCCTGACCCCCGCCTCCCCAGCCGTGCAGAATGAGCGCCAGCCACGCAGCACGGCCCAGGTCCGCCTGGACAGCATGGAGGCGGACAGCGAGGCTCGACCGGAGTCTCTGGCCGCACCCCCGGGGCCGGCGGGTCCCAGCCCCCGGGGCCACCCACCCTCTGCCGCCAGAGCCCTGGGCCACCACTTCATGGCAAGCCTCATCACGGCCGAGGCGTGTGCCAAGCTGGAGCCGGAGGACGGTGAGCTGAGGGCGGCAAGGCCTTGCGCCCCGTCACGGTGGGGTGGGCGCTGAGGTCACAGCCTCCTCCTCCAACAGCTGATGAGAACATTGACGTCACCAGCAATGACCCGGAGTTCCCCGCTTCCCCCTGCGGCCTGGACAGCATCCACGAGACGTCAGCACGCCTGCTGTTCATGGCCGTTAAGTGGGCCAAGAACCTGCCCGTGTTTTCCAACCTGCCCTTCCGCGATCAGGTGCGGGGTGTGGGCTGCAGCGCAGGTGCCACCGCAGTGGGGACGCACAGGCTCAGGGATGGTGGCCGTGGAGGGCAGCCGGCTCCAGGGCAAGGGCAGTGTGGGGTGCACACCTAGGGGCGATGCTAGCTGGGATCGGTGGGCTCCCTGAGCCCACCTCCTCCTCACCAGACGCTGGCGGGGGGCAGGCTGTGCATCGCACAAGGGCCCCACCTCTGCACCTCTGCGACTCCGCCCGGACCCTGACAAATCCACCGAGAGGCACAGTGCGGTGGGCGTGGGCTGAGTGGCTGGCTGGTGTCGGGCTGTGGCCAGGAGGACGTTTTTGGTGCCCAAGGTCAAACTCTCCGCTCGAGGGCACCCAGGAAGGTGCGGGGCAGGCGGGCTGCAGGCTGAGCGGAGGCCTGGGTGCGAGCCCTGACGCGCACGCCCTCTCTGAGCGCAGGTGATCCTTCTGGAGGAGGCCTGGAGTGAGCTCTTCCTGCTCGGGGCCATACAGTGGTCCCTGCCGCTGGACAGCTGCCCACTGCTGACCCCGCCCGAGGCCCCTGCCAGCGGCAGCGCTCAGGGCCGGCTCGTGCTGGCCAGCGTGGAGACGCGGTCTATTAAGACAACAATCGATGAATTCCCCTCCTCGTCGGTGGAGACCAAGGAGCTTCTCTTGCGTGCATTCCCTGGTGCTCTTCAAACCAGGTGGCTTGCAGGGGAAGGACCAGGCGGCGCCCCTCCCCCACCCCCCAGGCGGGCGGGCGGCGCAGGCGGGCAGGCCGGGCCGGCGGGCTCTCACTGCGCCTCTCCTCGCAGAGGCGCGGGGCCTGAAGGACCCTGAGCACGTGGAGGCGCTGCAGGACCAGGCGCAGGTGATGCTGGGTCAGCACAGCAAAGCGCACCACCCCAGCCAGCCTGTGAGGTGAGCGCGCCCCTGCCCGCCGCTGCTCCCGCCAGCGCTCCAGCCAGGCACTGGCCTCACTGCGCAGCTGCCTTCTGGGGATGCCAATCCTTGGGGGGGGGGGCAGGGGGCAGAGCTGGGAGGGCTTTGCAGAGGCGGGGCTGGCTGTGGAGGAAGTGTGGGCCTCCGAGAGAAGCCACTGTCACCCACAAAGACAAGCCAGCACCATGTGCTCCCCGGACAGGCTCAGGGTGAGAGGGTGGAAGGTCATTCCAGAGAGGCAGCCAGGCCCAGCCTGGCAGCAGGCGGAGGGGAGCCACTGCAGGGTCCTGAGCCGCAGAGCACCCAAGCGGCACTGGCCCCTGCACAGAGCAGCTGGAGCACCCCTCCCCTGGTCCCTGGGGGAGGGGGAGAGGAGATGGTGAGGGCAGGCACTGCACGAGCTGGGACGCGTTGGCCAGGGCGGGGTGTAGGAAGTTTCCATGGGGAACGGAGGGCTCAAGCCTCAGTGGCAGGGCAGGAGGGAGCAGCAGCGAGGCGTGCGAGGGGCAGGGTCGGAGGGCGTGCACTACACGGGCAGCAGTGCCCAAGCCAAGCAGCAGCTGTGGCTGGAGGGGTGGACGGCCCGGGCAGCCTCCGCAAGGTGGAGCGCTAGGCCTCCAGCAGGTGCCTGCTATGGTAGACCCAGCGCCTGTGTTCCTGGCCTCTCGGCCGCTGACCACCAGGGGTCACCCGCGAGTCTGACTTGAAACACGGAATGGACGGCTGAGACAGGGGTTTGTGATACCTGAGTCACTAGCTGTCAGGTTATTTTTTTTTTTTTTAAGATTAATTTTCTTTATTTGAAGGTCAGATACAGAGAGAGGGGTAGAGACAGAGAAGGAGAGAGGTCTTCCATCCACTGGTTCACTCCCCAAATGGCCACAATGGCTGTAGTTGAGCCAATCCAGAGACAGGAGCTTCTTCCGGGTCTGCCTCCTGGGTGCAGGGGCCCAAGGTCCTGAGCCGTCCTCTGCTGCTTTCCCAGGTGCATCAGCAGGGAGCGGGATCAGCAGTGGGGCCGCGGGGATTCGAACCAGCAGCCATATGGGATGCGGCGCTGCAGGCCGGGGTTTTGACCTGTTGTGCCACAGCGCCCGCCCCAGCTGTCAGGTTTTAAGAACTGCAGTGCAAGGAAGAAATCCAGGTTGCATCACAGCCCAGCACACACAGACACCACGACCGGCTCCCACCAGATGATGCCTAGCCTTACTCTGCATCATCTACTCTGTTTCTGTTGTGTGTGAAAGGCAGAGTTAGAGAGAGAGAGAGAGAGAGAGAGAGAGAGAGAGAGAGGAGAGAGAGAAAGAGGAGAGAAAGAGGAGAGGGGGAGGGGAGGGGAGGGGAGGGGAGATCCTCTGTCTGCCGGTGCACTCCGCAAATGCCCACAACAGCCAGGGCTGAGGCAGGCTAAGCCGGGAGAGCCAGGAACTCCGTCTGTGTTTCCATTTGGGTAACAGGGACCAAGTACTTTGAGCCATCGCCTGCTGCCTCCCAGGTGTGCCCCAGCAGGGAGCCGGAACGAAGCTGGGAGTTAAATCCGGGCACTGACGTATGGGATATGGGTGTCCCAGCGCCATCCTTGCAAAGGGCTCTTACCTAAAGCTGTAGACAGCCACTGAAACTGTCCTTAACCTTCAGAACATTTTAGTACTGGCTGCTGTCATTCTACATGGCTTACAGATTATCTATAGAAATATATATACACACATGTATATAAATTCTCATGACACGTTCATACATGAACGTTCTTCCAAAAGTTTGTTAAAAGAGGAATTTAAAGGTGAGTCCAGAGAGGGGGTTGAGCTGCAGCAGGGTAAACGTTGTTCATGCCTGGGACACCCGCGTGCCGTATCGGAGAGCCAGAAAGCAGTCCCACCTCTGCTTCCATCGCCTCCCTGCTAGTGCACCCCGGGAGGCAGAGGTGACGGCGCAAGCGCTTAGGTCCCCATCACCCAAGTGGGAGACCCACAATGAGTTTTGGGCCCCTGGCTTCGACCCAGCCCGGACCTGGCTGTTGGGGGTACTTGAGGAATGAACTAGCGGATGGAAGCCTATGCATTGTTTTCCTAACGTTTTTCCCCAGACTCTTCGAAGACCCCTAATATATGACTAATAGTAACATATCCGTCTGCAGGCTTAGAGCAAGTTTGAACTCCTCGCCTTGTAATCCTTATACTTCACAGCCAACATCTGCTAGGCGTGGTTCTCATGGCCGGTGGCTGGAGGCCCGTGCCCAGCGTTGAGGCAGTCCCCGGAAGTTCCCCCGCTGGCCGGGCCCTCCTCCTCCTCCCAGGGCCGCCGTTCCGGGAGGCCCAGCCGGGGACCGGGCTCCGAGGCTGTCGGGAGCCTGATGGCGCCCTCTGCTGTGCAGGTTTGGGAAGCTGCTGCTCCTCCTGCCGTCCCTGCGGTTCCTCACTTCTGAGCGCGTGGAGCTCCTCTTCTTCCGCAAGACCATAGGCAACACCCCCATGGAGAAGCTCCTCTGTGACATGTTCAAGAACTAGCCGGAGGCTCGGGGACGTCCCAGCCACCCTTTCACCGAGCAAGTCCCCTCAGAGGCCCGCACACCCCGCAGAAGCATCCGCGCAGATACCGCGAGGATATTCCCATCAGCCCCTGGGCGCACCCTGGGAGAGCGGACACGTGCACCGCTGTAGACTCAGGATAACACTTGGTACCCGGACACACCTCACAGGCAGAAAAGTCGAATGCAGGGGGCCAGTGCCCCCAAATCCCAGAACAAGAGCTGAGAGTGGCGGCCGTGCGCATCACGGTCCCCTTTATCTCCCCCACCCCATGTGGGCGGTGGGCCCACAGATATCCTCATACAGACGCCCAGTGAGCCATGCGTGGTTTTGTTAGACTTCAGTCTTTTAAGAAACAACACAAAGGAGGCTCTCCTGCTGAGGGGCGTGGAAGGTTCTGTCACGCAGGTCAGGTTACGGGGGCTGCGGTTTGAGCTCCAGGCAAGATGGACGATCTGCAGGGTTCTGTGCGCCCCACCCCCACCCCGCCTTGTCGTCCTCGCGCTTCCCCGCCCCTTCACAGGGAAGGGGAGCACAGCGCCCTGCTCCCCAGCAGCCGGTGAAGGGGACCCCGTCGGAGAAGCCGAGGCTCAGACAGCCGTCCTTTGCAGAGACAGACCCCGTGGAGGTAGAAGATGATAGTTAGCATCTAGGGGCTGGCGCTGTGGCACATGGGTTAAGCCTGTGAAGCTGGCATCTCACATGAGCACCGGTTCAAGTCCCAGCTGCTCCACTTCCAATCCAGCTCCCTGCTAATGCGCCTGGGAGAGCAGCTGAAGATGGTCCACGTGCTGGGTCCTTGCCACCCAGCAAGGAGACCTGGATGGAGCTCCAGGCTCCTGGCTTCAGCCTGGCCCAGCCCCAGCCATTGTGGCCATTTGGGGAGTGGACCAGCAGATGGAAGACCTCTCTTCCCCCACCCACCTGTGTGTGTGTGTGTGTGTGTGTGTATAACTCTCCCTTTCGAATAAATAATTTATTAGCAATTAGCAATTGCTAAAATATCTAGCAAGCAGTGAGCTAAGCGCTTAGTGTGCTTCGCTACTTAATCCTCAGCTCAGTTCTGGGGAAAGGAGCAACCATCCCCATTTATAGATGAAAAGCCCTGAGGCTGAGAGAGGCCGCACACCTTGGGGGGACTCCGCCCTGTGTCCCGTCCCTCTGGTCCCACCCTCTCCCCCCACACAGCACAGACCGAACCGTTCTGCGTTTCCTGTCTTCGAAGAATGCTGGCAACCAAGGGAAAGGCACCACTGCGCAATCCCCAGGACCCCAGGCGCCCCCTGCATGCCCTGGCCCCCAACCCGCCCCAGCCCCAACTGGAACTCCCCATGCTGCACACGGACCCCACCCGCCCCGGGAGAGACACAGCCGGGCCAGTGCCCAGACAGAGAGCACGGCGGCTGCTGCCCAGCCAAGCCCCTCTCGCCTGAGCACACACAGGCTCCCGAGAGCACCAGCCCGGCCTCCGCGGCTCAGGCCATCCGAAGTCTGAGGCCACTGCACTGTCCAGTTCCCCCCGAACTTTTAGCCGAAAGTCCAAGCCTGAGCAAAGACGCCTCAGCAGGCGACGAGGCTGCAACAGGACCAGGCGAGCCCTGCACCTGCCGCAGCCCGCAGCCCGCCAGCCGGCGCCTCTGGCGTCTCCGGGGCATCTTGGCGAATTCGCAGAGGCACACTGCTGCCTGTCCGCTGCCAGCCTGGCATTGAGCCCGTCTCAGCCTCTGCCCCGCTGGCTAAGGAAAGGCACCCACCTGCCACTGGGAAGGTGAGAGAGGAGACGCTACCTCTCTCTGGAGCCAGCCGCAGCCCCGCTCCCTCTTCCTCAGCGCCGCAGCTGCTCCCAGGTCCTCTGGAGCGCTCGGGGCTCATGACTGAGTTTGTGCGGGCTTCCACGCCTTCTCCGGAGGATCCTGGCCCGTGGCTCCCCCGCTCCTTCTGGTGCGTGTCAGCTCCGATTTCTGCATTCAGTCCTCGCCTGCAAGTCTTCCTGACTCCTGCGGTCCAGCTGCCTTCCCGTGTCAGTCCGCCTGGCTGACACTCGATGGCAGGGACGCCGGCGAGCTCTTGGCTGTCAGGGACAGGTCACGGGCAGAACAGAAATGACAAACGAGGACGAAGTCCCGCACCTGCCACATGTGAGGGGACCCGCAGGGCCTCCCCTGTGGATCTCTGCTCCAAGGGCTGCTGCAGGGAGGACCTGCACGCGCTCGCGTCGCCTTCCCTGCCCGGGAGCCTTACCCGGTTAAACCGAGTCTCCACCGCTGGCAGCTCGCATCCCAGTGCCTCGGGTTCAGCAGACTTCCAGCCGCTCCTGCCCCTGCTCTTGGCCAGGCTGGGGCTGGGTCCCGTCCTTGAAGCCCAGCGTGTAGTCCCCGCTGCCCTTGGGGCTGGGGCTCGAGGGAGCCAGGGCCAGAAAGCCAAGCTTGGATCTTTCATGCCCGGCCAGCTGCTCCTGTGCACGTCTGGGAGACAAAGCCGCACCCCTCCTCCAACCCCCACCAGAACACGCATGGAGGTGACCGTGGGCCTGCTGACCGCGTCTCCGTGGGAGAGAATGCTCTCCTTGCACATTTCACAAGGATTTGTCCTTTCACAGCACGCACTCCTAACCAAATTTACACCAGCTTACTTATAAATCACTTTAAATCCATTAAAATCATGTACAAATCTGCGGTCCAGATTCTACCTTTCCCAGAGTAAATACTAAAGGTGCGACTCTGACCTGGGCCCAGAGTCCTGGCCACCAGCCCCGGGGCGGGGGAGGGCGGTGGAAGGCGGGGCCTTCTGCAGCCTCAGCCGAGTCTGCGCTGGCCATCAGCCTCTTCCTCCAAACCCAGCCTGCGAGGGAAAAGCGGCTGAAGGAGGCAGTGCTGAGCCCTCGCAGGCGCGGTGCGAGGTGGGACGTGGCTGCCGGCACGGAATGAGGCGTGAAGAAAGCTTCCTGGGAAACCTCTCAGCTCTGCACCCCCCTCAGGACCCCTTCTCCAGCTCACAAGTGCTGGGGACGGGAGCACCTTGTTAGTGCCAGTGAGAAGGCGCGGCCTCCAGGACTGGGATGGCCCACGTGGCAAGCTCCCCCCCCCCCCCTGCAGGGCTGAGTGTCCTGGGTGTTTCCCAGCCCCGAGAGGCAACGTGATTTACATGGCACTAAGTACTCTGCAGACTGACCATGGCTCACCTCCCTGAAGCCTGCCTGGATTTGCTGCCAGCCTGCTTTCATCTGCGACACACAAACCCTTCTTTTCTTCTGCTACGTTTCCCACAATACATACGCAGCGTGGAGAGAGAACAGCTTTGTCAGGAGCAACCAGGGCTGGGGATGCGGCATGTGACGGCCGGGCCCTGAGTCTCTCAGGGTGGGCTACAAGTGTGGGGCTGCCCCCCTGCTGCTGGGAGACCAAAGAAAAGAAGGAATAGGAAGCCACAAACGGGACACGTATCGAGGTCAAAGATCTCAGCCCTAGGAGATCACAACGCAGCGTCACTTTGGGGGGACCTAAGTGACAACTGTTACCACAGGAAACAAGTTCTGGGGTCCCGGGTTCGCTGCACCTGCCACCCACAGGACAGCGGCCTGCTCTCCCTCAGAGGGGGCCCCACCTGCTGGACCCTTCCAGCGCTCTCCCACCTCCCAAATGACTGGAAGTCCACAAATCTACTGGAGAAAACATTAGCTTTTATTTAGTTTTTATCCAAATTCAGGTTTTAGGTCCCTGAGCAAAATTATAAAGTCTCTTAGCATCCATCACCTAGTTCCTATAAAGTGACCTATAGTGTAAGTAGTTTTAACTGCCGAAGCCCACACACATTTTACGAGGGAGGACTGGGTGCCAAGAGGTGTTCTCGGGCCAAAGCAAAGCATCCAGCAAGGGTGAGCCCTCTGTCCACGGTGCTTCAGCAACACTGTGGAGCGAGTGGGGAGTGACAGCGCCGGGCAGCACGTCACTGTCCCCGCAATCTGCCACAGCACAGCTCAGCTGGGGTCCCTCGCAGAGAGGCTTCCCACGCGAGGACTCCCCGGAACACCACGGCAGGACGGCAGGCGTCGGTGGGGCATGAACTCAGCACTGACCCGGTTACCATCACCATCTGGAGACCAGGGGGCTCACCTTGCCCAGGCCCAGCTGGCAGCCGCAGCCAGGAGAGCTGCCACCCAGAGGGGCTCCCAGAACCACCGAGCAGTGGCGAGAGGCTCGGTGCTGGGGCACAGCGGGGCTCTGCCTTAACAGAAGACAGGATTCCCCTAACTTGCAAACAGGCAAGTCGGGAAAGCGGAAAAACCAAACCTCGGGTGAGAGACGGCTCTGGCTCTGGCTGAGCAGTGCGTGTGGTGGTTAGACAGATGCATTTAGTAACTTTACAAATCAACATTTCCATGTACTTATCTCCAGGGTATCATGTTTCATTTTTCATAATCATAAATAGCAAAAACATGTCCAATCCCACAAACGCTAAGATGCTTACAGCATTATTATGACTGAGGTGTATGGGGACCACCGGCGGTTACCAAGAATGGCCTTACTCCTCCTTCAACCCAGCCACAGCCCCCACCTGCGGGAAGAAAGTCCGTGAGGAAGGAGGGAAGCGCACGGTTAAAAAGAAATATGCATCCTATACACAGATATTTACAGTAAACTTCAGTCACAGAATATTAACAAAAATAGCTTCAAGTCGTCCTGGATTTCTTGTCTCGTCTACTTAATACTGCCGGTCTGAGGAAAGGAAGGCGGAAGTTAGAGGGGTCACATTAAAAACTCAGGGAGATATTTTGGCAGCTTTCTAACATTTGTTCATGCAGTGGTGTGCGTGACTGTTTGGGGACGTGACAGGAGGTCGCAGTCTGTGTGGACCTGTGGTGGGCGGGGCGTGGCTGCAGCTCGGTCTGCACAGAGGTAAAGTGGGGGTCAGGGCAGAAGCTTCCTGTGCTGGGACCCTGGGTCTCTGAGAGGCATCTGACGCTGGCCCAGGGAGCAGGGTGGAACGGGGCTGTCCGGGAGCTGAGCCAGCAGTGCTGGCCACGCCAGCAGCACAGACAACACGTGTGCTCTCATCCTCACGCTCCAACGCCTCATGGACACACTGCATGTTCCTCCAGACTACACCACGGAGTGCTTTTCAAAAAAATCTTAAAATAGAGGGCTTACATATTATGTTTATAAACCTTGGGGAAAAATTAGATACACCCCAGCTCCTAACCATCCCAAAATATACCCAAAGGCTTTGCTTTCATGGTTGACAAAGGTGTCTACATTTTCATCCAATGTCAGAAGTCCGAGGGTCCCTCAGGCTCCGAGAGGGTGGAGGAGAGGAACACACAGCCAACCCAGGGCCCAGGCTCAGGTGGCTCGCTTTAGTGTGGTCTCAAGTCACGCATAGCAGCCGCGGCTGGCTGGCACTGTTCCCAGCAGGCCTCGAGAGGCCTTCCCCTTTGTACAAGAGGTCGCAGCCAGGTGCTCGGGCAAGAGGCGGGGCTGCACGCAGGAGGGACTGCCGTGGATGCGCTGACAGGACACACGGCCACCAGGTCACACCATGAACTCGTGGTTTCCAAAGAGCGCTACCTGTGGTGTGGAGCTGCCGTCGGGGTCCCCAGGCTTCCTGCGCCCCTCTGGGGTCTCTTTGGTTTTCTGAGGTGAGTTTTTCACATTCTTCAACTTTTGTTTGCCCTTTTCAGGGTTGAAAGTGCCTCTGCTGATGAACTGAGGCCTGTCTTCCAGGGATCTGCTCGGGCCCGGCGCTCCTTCCAGGGCCTCTCCGGCGGGGGCAGCTCGGTAGAAGGGAGATTTGGAATAAATCTGAAACCGCTTTCTGGTCCCATGAGATGATGCGGTGGTGGACGGACAGGAAGGGGCCGAGCAGTCCGCTGAAGCCACAGAGGCCGGCTGCTTCCTGAGCGGCTTTCGCGACTTGCCTGAAGGGTCGAGCTTGCCGGAGGCCTTCAGGGAGCTAAGGGCGGAGCTTCTCTCTGAAGAAAAAAGACACCAGTGCTGTACCAGTCCCCTCCGAGGACACCAGCACTGGGCGACGCTTCCCTCTAAAGCAAATCATCGTGTCTGTTCACACAGCAGATGGACTGGCTGGGCCAGGATTTACAGGGCTCAGACGGACCGGCTTGGTGCAGGTGTCCCTGAGCAAACAGCCTACCACCCACTGCTGCAGGCACCACTTCAGAACTGGCGCCAAGGAAGTCTGGCGTTTGACAGTGTCACCAGGAGAGGCCATTTCAAAAATGACCAAGATATGTGGTGAGGTCTGTGTCTCCCTGGGGCATGGGCCAGTTTAAACTCCTTCCAGGGATGGCACTGTGGATGCCAGGTAAAGTCGCCACCTGCGATGCCAACATCCCATGTGGCACTGGTTCATGTCCTGGCTGCTCCGCTTCCAATCCAGCAGTGGAAGATGGCCCAGGCCCTGCACCCATGTGGGAAACTCAGAAGGAGTTCCAGGTTTCTGGCTTCAGCCTGGCCCAGCCCCCACCACTGTGGCCATTTGGGGAATGAACCAGCAGATGGAAGATGGAAGTCTGTCTGTCTATCTGTTTCTCTCTCTCTCTAACTCTTTCAAATAAATAAATAAATCTTTAAAAAAAAAGAGCTTCCTTCTGTCTCTGGTCCCACCTCACAGTGGGTCCCATTCCTGCCACTACCCTCAGGAAGTGGTCCTAGGTCAGTTAGACAACATGTACTGTGGTTACAGGCTTTTCTCTGGAACAAGAGAAAATATGAAATTCCAAACAAAATAAAACTGCATTACACTAATTATCAGTCTGAAGAACATCTTAATCTGCGATTTCTCAGGACCTTGGCACCTTGTCAGGTAAGGTTAGCGCACTCCCAGAGGGGACCTTACTGCAGGATGTTTGGCCTAATGCTTAAGACACGCACAGCCAACCCAGGGCCCTGAGCTGTGGCACTGTAGGCTAAGCCTCCACATGCAGCACTGGCATCCCATAAAGGCACCAGTTCGAGTCCCAGCTGCCCCTTTTCCTATCCAGCTCTCTGCTATGGGCTGGGAAAGCAGTGGAAGATGGCCCAAGTGCTTGGGTCCCTGAGCTCACATGGGAGACCCGGAGGAAGCTCCTGGCTTCAGACTGGCCCAGCTCCAGCCGTTGCGGCCATTTGGGAAGTGAATCAGCGATGGAAGAACTGTCTCTCCCTCTCTCTGTCTGTAACTCTACCTCTGTCTATAACTCTACTCTACATCTCAAATGAATAATCTTAAAAAAAGAGAAGATGATGACACTGCTTGGGACACCCACATCCCACACTGGAATGCCTGGGTTCCACTCCTGCTCCACTCTCAATTCCAGCTTCCTGCCGATGTGCAGCGGTGATGGCTCAAGTACTTGGGTCCTTGCTACCTATGTGGGAAACTGGAGGGAGTTTCTGCCTCCTGTTTTTGACCTGGCCCAGCCCTAGCTGTCGTGGGCATTTGAGAAGCAAACAAGAGAATGGGAGCTCTCTGTCTTCCTCTCAAATGAATAAAATTCATAAATTTTAAAAAAGAAAAACAAGGAATCATGTCTTCACTTGGGAATCCTCATTCCTCCTTGCAAGACAAACCTGGAGGCTTCTGCCTGTTGCGTGGCTCACCTGGTTTCTCGGAGACAGCACCCTCGGCCTCCACGTTCAAATTCTCTGAGCTGTCGGCTGTCCCGACGGAAGCTTCGGACTCGAGGGTCTCATCATCAGAGGCACGGGGCTCCAGCACGAGCATCTCAAACGTCAACTCCTCCCTGCCAGGAACAACCGAGAAACCATCAGCACTTGAGAGCAAGTGAAGGCGGCAGTCACACAGTGGTGATGAGGGCCCACTTGCCAAAGTATGGGCAAAGGCTGAAGCCAAAGGACTGAAGACAAAACGACAGCAAATTTAGGACCAGTAGGGCAAAGACAGGGTGAAGACGGACACTGCAGCAGTGAGACCTTTATGTGGTGGAATGAGGTGAAAAGGTCATGCCAAGATGGCCGCTGAGGTGAAAAGGTCATGCCAAGATGGCCACTGACAACAGAAACTGCCTCGCAACAGGCCGTGATTGGATGGCTTCGGAAACCACGTGACAATAGAGGAACCCACATGACAACAGAGCCTGACTGACAGCAGGCCGTGATTGGATGGTTTCAGAAACTGCCTGGCAACAAGAGCCTGATTGGCAACAGCTTGTGATTGGATGGCTTTGGAAACTGCCTGGCAACAGGCTGTGATTGGTTGGGGCATAGACTGCCCCTTGACCGGATTGGCTGGTCTTGACTATATAAGCTGTTGTACTAACTGAAATAAACGAGTCTGCGGGCTGCTTGCCTCAAACCCACTTTCACCTGACTCCCGGGGTCTGTGTGATGACTCTGCGCCTCTTGCCCCCACTACGCTCCTCCTCTCAGGAACGAATCCACTGCAACATTATTGAGAAATCAACTGCAACATCTGGGGTAAAGTCAAGTCCAGGCTGGCGTCAGGAGGCACCTGCCTCCTCTAGACTCTGGCCTCATCACCCACAATGACGAGATTAAACCAGCTCATTTTTACGACCCCTTCCAGCCCCTGCACAGTTTTCTGTGGAGCTGGGCTCCCTGGAGGCTTCTGGACGAAGTCAAACGCTGCCTCATCTCTTCTGGTCTTTCCGCTGAGGCCACCTCCAGCTACACAATTCTCCACTCCTCAGCAGCTGCCCTGCATTTGCTGAGGTCCCTGGTACTTGGCTCCTGTCCTGCTTTCTCACTACTGCCTGACATCACCCCAACTGTTCAACTAACACCTCTGAAAAACTCGCTCCAGACCCTCCTGACACTGCGGTCCTTCTGCTGTTCCCACGCTTCGAACGAGACCCTCGGATGGGCAGGCCCTCCAGCATGTCCTCATTTCCTTGTGTGAGACCCAAGGGCCGTCTTCCCACGGCAGTCTCACCAAAACTCACTGCTGCCATCACCTGCCACAAGCCATAGCACCTGCACCTCTTGGCCTTGGCTCATGCTTTTCCCTCACTCTGCAAATTCCCTTCCCAGAGAACTCCTGTTCATCCTTCCACACCTCCAGAACCTCCGCAACAAAGCAGTTAGGAATTCTGTCCAGACCTCTCCCTGGCCAATGCACACACCTCTGCCTTTTGTTTTTCAAAGCCAAGCTCCAGCTGCATCCTTGCTTTCCTAAATGCCAATCAGTCTTGACAAACAAGAAGCACTTTAGAATCTCACGTCCCCCTGTAAGTTCAAACCCAGACTCCAGGAACTCATGAACAAAGGTCCCCTTAAGACTTTTAAAAATGTAATTAATTTATTTATCTGAGAGGCAGACAAACAGAGCTCCTAGCATCTGGCCCATTCCCCAAATGCCCACGACATCCAGGGCTGGTCCAAGGCTGAAGCCAGGAGCTGGGAACTCAATCTGGGTCTCCAACAAGTATGGCAAGGACCCAGTCATTTGAGCCATCACTGTTACCTTCCAGGGTCTGCATCAATAGGAAGCTGGAGTTGGGAGCTGGAGCCAACACACCCAGGACCTCTGATATGGGACCCAGGAGCCAACTGTTGCACCTGCCACCGCTGCCAGTCTTGAGAAAGATTCTGTCTTAGCCTGGGAATTGCCACTCTGCACCTGGCGGCTGGCCCCCAACCTGTGAGGACTCCACACCTCAGCAGGCCCTGACTCAGACTGCCACCCCGTGGAAACACATCCTCCTCCCACTCAGCCTGTCCTCCCTCCCCTGGCAGCAGGGAGCAGGACTCGACCTCCACGTCCCTACATGTGCGACACCCACGAGCCGTGGAACACACAGGAGGAAACCAAGGATGGAGGGAGGAAGTGAACAGTGACGGGCCTCTGCGTGCCTCCTGGACACTCACTTCTCCTTCTGCAGGCTCTCAATCTGCTCCGTCAGTACCCTCTCCTCCTGCTGCATGGCTGCCTGCTGCTGCTCGGTGAGCTCAGTGTCCAGGGCTGCCTCGCTGGTCAGCGGCTCCTCTGGGACGTCAGACACAGAAGGCAACCGAACCACCACGGGAGAGGATGGGCTCGGATGGTTTCCTCGACGGATACGTCCCTTTCCCTGCAGAAGACGACTCAGGTCAGAAAGTCAATCATTGGCTGCACACGTGTTTCACGTGGCCCAGGTAGGCTAACGCGCGCATGTCCGCCACACCAGGTGAATGGCAGGAGGCATGGGAACATTCTGTGAGGCCTAGGGAAGGCAGTCAGCCAGCCACCTGGGTGAAAACACACCTGGGTGAAAACGGACACTTCAGCCTAAGGGCTTGGTGTGTCCTGGTGTGTCCTGGTGTGTGTGTGTGTGTGTGTGTGTGTGTGTGGTTCTTCTTTTAATCTAAACTGATTTACATTCAAATTAAAACCAAAAACTCAGTTCTATAGGCCCAACAGCCACATTTCAAGTGCTTAGTCACCACTGGCCACTCATGGCTGCCACTCTGAACAGGGCAGACTCAGAACATCCAGCACCACAGGGAATTCTGTCGGACAACAGTGCTCAATGACCTTGACCTTGGGCTGAGGAAGAACATGCAGTATGTCCTGAGACTCTGTTCTGTGAGAATTTTCTCGAGAAAATTCTACTCTTGAGACTGGGGTTGAACAGAGGAATTGCACATGTGACTCAGCTTCTGATAGTGGCACACTGGGTTTCTGGATTAAATCTTCAACTAAGAACAAGACCAACACACAAAGATCATCACATGCTTGAAAGCTCTACAGGTCGGCCAGGCAGGCGAGGGAGAGGCTGGGCCCGCATCCTGTCCCAATCCAGATTTCAGAAGAGGCAGCCACAAGTCTGAGCGAGCTTTCGACAGACTACAGCTGAGGGTGGCACACTGCAGCCTGTGAGCCCAATCTAGCCTTGTTCCAGTTTTGCAAACGCGGCTTTCCTGGAACACACTCTGCTTGCTGCCCTTCCACAGCTGCTTTTGTAGAACAGCATGGCTGACGGCTGCAACACAGACTGAAGTATTTTACTCTCTGGTCAAAGAGTTTGCCAGCCGTGGGGTATAAAACTCAGTTGGAAGGCAGACCCACTGAAGGACGTGCGCTGCTGCCTGGCAAAGCCTCCACGCCTGGCACTGGGATCGAAGGCCTGCAACCTAGACATGAGAGCACACTGAAACTGCAGCAGTCCTGCAGATACCACACTCAGCCGCAAGCCATTGGGATGATCCGGAAAGCTGGGTTCAAATAATCCTCATTGCTAATGCCTTGGGACCTGGTAAAAGTTAAACATACTCCTTAGAGGAAAGTAATGTCTTCCCCAGGCCTCTAAATATTTTTACCAATAATTTTTTAAATACCACATCTGACACACAATCAAAGGTAACCCGGCACAAAAGAACAGAGACAATGTAAATAACAAGTACCACAACAAAAGAAAACGCGGCCTCACTGACTCAACACTGGCCACCCAGCAGACCTAAAATAAGCACACTCAAGGGGACGGGAAGACAAAACTGAACTGGAAAGTCAGGTCAGAAGAAAACAAAAGAATGGGAAGAATTCATGAAAGAAGGTGACAGAGAGGCCCCAAGGAAAACCAGGAGAGGAGACAGTGCGTTTAGAAGAAACAGTGACGAGATGAGAAGGCATTTTTAAAGACCAGTAGAAGACACTGAGACACTGATGCAAGAAAGCCTATAGCTCCTGAGAAAGTCTGACGACCAAGGGCCAGAGAATTCCTAAAAAGGTCAGAAAAAGCAAACTCCCTGCAAGAACAACCACTAGACTGAACACCCAATTCTCAACAGAAATAATGGGGGCTGGAAACAAAGGGATGAAAAGCAGAAGTGATTGTCAATTCAGAATTCTGTGCATTAACAAAAATAACCCTCAGGAATGAAGGTGAAATAAAGACATTTCAGACAGACAAAGACAAGAATCTGACAGAAGCAGACTTGCACTAAAGAAATATTAAATGGAAGACAGGAAAAGACACAGATGCTTAGAGAAATAAAGGCAATAAAAATGGTATAAGTACGCACAAGTAAATACTGACCCCATAAAACAAAATGATGTGTTGGGTTTAATATACACAGATGATTAAAACACACAAAAAGAAGAATTAAGTCACATAATAGCTAACACATATGAAAGGCCTTGCATTATCTGGGAAACAGATATAAGTACCAATTAACAAACTTTGATAGGTCATAGATGTTGCTATTTTTAGGTTAACTACTAAAAACAATAGAGTGTAGAACTTCTAAACAGAAGAAAAAATGCAATCATAAAGTACTCAAAAGGCAAGAAAGAGAAAACCGTAACAGGGAAGACAAACAAAAATAACAGAATAGATTAAAAATCCAGATGTATTGGTGATAACACTAAATGTAGATAAATTAAATGTTTCCATTAAATTCTGAAGATTGTCAGAATGTGTTAAAAACAGAAAACGAGATGAATGACACAGCTGTTAAAACACCTCCTGGTGCCGGCCCTGGGGCATGGCAGGTAAAGCTACCACCTGCAATGCTGGCATACCATATGGGCTCCTGTTCAAGCCCTCCACTTCCAATCCAGCTCTCTTCTATGGCCTGGGAAAGCAGTAGAGGATGGCCCAAGTCTTTGGGCCCCTGCACCCGTGTGGGAGACTCAGCCCAGCTCAGGCTGTTGCGTCCAAATGGGGAGTGACACAGCAGATAGAAGACCTCTCTCTCCCTGCCTTTCCTTCTCTCTCAGAAACTGACTTTCAAATAAATAAATAAATCTAAAAAAAAAAAAAAGCCTCCTGGGGGGGCTAGTGCTGTGGCATAGCTGGTAAAGATGCCACCTGCAGAGCTGGTATCCCATATGGATGCCATTTCAAATCCTAGATGCTCCACTTCTGATCCAGCTCTCTGCTGTGGCCTGGGATAGCAGTGGAAGATGGTCCAAGTCCTTGGGCCCCTGCACCCATGTGGGAGACCTGGAGAAAGCTCCTAGCTCTGGGCTTCAGATGGGCCCAGCTCTAGCCACTGAGGCCATTTGGGGAGTAAACCAGCAGAGGAAAGACCCCCCCCTCCCCCCGCCGCCTCTGCCTCTCTGTAATTCTCCCTTTCAAATAAATAAATCTTTTTTTTTTTTTTTTAAGCCTCCTGAGATGCCTGCATCCCATTTCAGAGTGCCTGGGTTCAAGTCCCAGGTCCACTCTCAATTCCAGCTTCCTGGTAATGCGCACCCTGGGAAGCAGCAGGTGGTGGATCAGATAACTGGATCCCTGCTACCAACACAGGACACCTGGAAATGACTTCCTGGTTCCTGGCTTTGGCCTGGTGCAGCCCTGGTTATCAGTGGGCATTCGAGGAGTAAACTGACAGGAAATATCAGTCTTTGTCTCTCTCTGCCTTTCAAATAAAAACAAATAAACAAATATATGCTTTAAGTATTTATTTAAAATATAAAATATTATTAAATATTCATTTAGTTAGTTAGTTACAGAGAGGGAGAGGCAGAGAGACCTTCCACCTGCTGGTTCACTCTCCAGATGGCCGCAATGACCAGGGCTGAGCCAGGCTGAAGCCAGGAGCCAGGAGCTTCATCTGGGTCTCCCACATGGGTGCAGGGGCCCAAGGACTTGGACCATCTTCTGCTGATTTTCCCAGGCCGTAGCAGAGAGCTGGATGGGAAGTGGAGCAGCCGGGACTTCTGCGATGCAGAATGATGTGAGCTTAATCTGCTGCACAACAGTGATGGCCCCCAAACAAAAGGATATTTACAAGGGACACATAACACTTAAGAATCCAGAAAACATGGAAGTAGGGCCACAGCTGCGGCACAGCAGGTTAAGCTGCTGCCTGTGATGCCGGCATCTAACACGGGTGCCAGTTCGAGTCCCAGCTGCTCCATTTCCAACCTGGATCCCTGTCAATGTCACCCACAAAGGAGACTCAGATGAAGCTCCTAGCTCCTGGCCTCAGTCTGGCCTATTGGGAATGAACCAGTGGATGGAAGAGATAGCTCTCTCTACCCCCGCTCCCTTCCTACCTCTAACTCTGCCTTTCAATTAGATAAATAAATATTTTTTAAAAAATCTCTTCAGAAGGAGATCCAAGATGGTGGAACAGGAGGGAGCTTACTGCTAGTCTAGGAGAAGATGGTTTACAGAGGGTGTAGACACAGACAACTCAGGACCCCAGCAGCCGAGAGCCTCAGCATTAGCTCTGGAGAATGTGGTGAGACCAGACTGCAGTAGCCTAGGCCACTGGCAATAAGGTGTGGGAAAAGCCTAGCGTGAGTCCAGCTTGGAGCCCTAGGCAGCACAGCATACCTGCCAAACTAGAGGAGGAAAAAAATGGGCATGTTTCTTTCCCAGACTACCCTGCACCACCATCCTGTAATAAGCTGAGAGAGGGCAGAGGTCACTGCAGACATATGTAACGGATGCACCAGCTAGTTTCCACACACCCAGCACCCAGCTAAGCAGAGAAGCCTGAGTCTGGCTGGGAGAACTGACAGGGGGCTGGGTGCTGCTGACTGTGGGAGGTTTCTGCGAAAACACTGTGGCTGTGTGGGAGAGTGCAAGGGTATGACTGGGATCTTAGGCAGTCACTATGGGAGGCTCCACACTTGGGGCTCCCTGATCCCCTGTGCGGGTCACTGCTGTGGGATCTGTACTTACTCTAAGGACGGTACCGATCCTTTGGTACTTGAGGCAGCGCAGATGAATATTATATCCACTGGGGCTAGTGCCCAGGCACTGGTCTCTGTTGAGGAGAGGAGGTGAGGGGGAGACTACACCAACAAAGCAGAACAAACCCTCTCTGATTAAAAAAAAAAAAAGAAGAAGAAGAAGAGATTCACCACGCCCAACCTGGGTGTCACCTTGGACACCCCCCTCACCCTGGAGCACTGAACAGAAATCCTTGGCCACACCCAACACATGCCAGCCTCTAGACGTTGGCTGAAAAATCATACACTCCACTAAGCCAAGGAGGCACAGTCCAAAGATAAAGCCATCACAGGGGAAAAACAAAGCAAAACAAAAAAGAAACCAATGAGGATCTGCACAAATGCCAGATAATAAATGCAGCAACTCAAGAAACAAGAATAAGGAAGACAACATGATGCCCCCCA